ATGTCCTTATCTAACTTATTGAAGTGCCATCTCTTGGAAAATCCGACACTACTGCCAAACATAATTTTTGCTGTCTTTACCTCAGGCGAGCGTACGAATTACCACAAATTGCATTCTAATATATAACTTTTTTTCTACGCTTCCAATCGTACCTCAAAAAGGTCTTGCATTATTCGTGCAAGTAATCCGATGCGCGCTAGGTACTTTTGCTGTACATATGAGCTGCAGAACTTTTGTACTTATGAAAAGTTTACGTCAGGTGATAGGTTATGTACCCCAAAAAAGGTAATTTTTTAATATTTTTTCGTTTTAACTACTCATATATACCTAGCGCGATGACATTTTATGTCCATTTCAATCCTGTAAAAGCGTTTTTAAATCCGTTCAGTCGTTTCGGAGTTATCAATTAGAATGCAAATGTCGGTAATTTTTACTTTCCAGCATCGCCTTAAGTATCTCATACTACCTATTAAAATAAATAAAACTTCTCATAGAAGATATTTCCTAAATTGACAATAAAAACGGTTTAAAGATTCAATCATGATTATATTTTTGTCATTCGTGATTACCTGTGTAAATTCTTACATAATTAAAATTTATTTTATGATATATAATATTTAATTTATGAAATTAAATTTAAAATTTAATTATGCTATACAATATATTTGGCTCTTTTATTTATGTTCCTCTCTTTTTTTATACGTAGTCCTATCATGTAAGTAAATTACTAAAAAGAACGGTAGATTATATACCAGTTCGGTCAATAAGGATCCATTCATCGTCCTCGACTTCCACTTGCCTGAATCTCCGCATTATCCCTCGAGTTCTAGGATCTTCCTCGAGCGAATCCTGCGTGCCAGAGTAGTTACTTCCGAACAAGTAACCAACAAAATTGCCCAACATTCTGTTATCGTCTGTAATATGCATAAAAACAAAAGAATAAATAAATAAGTTTAATAATAATTCAACGCACGCACGCACGCACGCACGCACGCACGCACGCACGCACGCACGGTGACTTTCATGTGACTTTTAAATAATTCTTTTAGGTCAAACCAATGGTACCATCTTATGGTCCCTTCGAAACCAAACAACTTTTGTCTGAAAAATTTTTCTCTCCCGGGCTTGATTTTCGAGATATTCGACTGGATGTATTAAAATGGTCCACCCTGTATATATATATATATATACATATATATATACATATATTGATATTATTTTCATATAAATTTATATATTGTCTAATACAGAAATACAATTAATGCAACCCGAGCACGTCAAGTTTTTTTTTCATTATAATCCACTTTATCACTTTTTCATTTTAAAAATTTTTGAATTTGTTCACAAATAAGCTTTTTGAGGTCTTTTTAAAATAATGAGGCTAGTTTAATAACTTGGCTAATTTTATCGATTTCACGACTATTTTTGATCAATCAATTTTTAAATAATTATATATTTAAATCATTTCAAAAACATTGTTTTTATTTTTAAAAAGAATGTAATATGCGACATTTTTTATGTACTTAGCATATTTTTTCTTTTTTTAAAAAAATTTTTTATGGTAAATGTTTTTTAAAGAATTCTAACGATAAAAATTATTTATTTATTTTTTCATAATTTTTACCTCCCAAGAAATGCTCCTTTCGGATATATAGATGAGACGCTATCTAATTTTTGACAGTTCTGCAAGTTCTAAAGCATTTCTCACATAGTTCATGAAATCTATCATTTAACCTTAAAATATCCATTTCAATCCTCCAGGAAAGACGGAAGAGGGTTGAAAATCTTAAGCGGCATGTTCAAGTGGGGGCTCATTTAAAAGGATTTTTAGAGACGAGAAAAACGTGAGGATGTTGAGGTCTCTACAATTTTTTTCGCAGAGTTATGTTCATTTGAACATTGGTGTTATTTAGTGCTAGCAAGGACTCACAGCGAGCACATGAGGAAACTAAGGCTTCGCCACATCATATATAGTGGCTTCGGGCATGTCACACACACGTGTGCGCGCGCGCTCTTTCGCGTGCATTTTCATCCACTCAACGACCTCGTGTTCTTCTCGTCTCAAAAAGTCTTTTTCAAGGTTAAATGATAGATTCATGATGCCATTGTAACCCTATAAATTTTAATCCAATATCTCGAACCATTCAGAAATTATTTAGGTGGCTCCGAACTTTTGGCGATCTCTGCATATAAACGCAGTAAAGACTCCTTTTTCAGATAGCGTAATTCAAATAAATTTGAAAGGAATCAGGCTCCCAAAAATAAATTAAAACTCGAAATAAAACCAATGTGAGCTGACACAGATGTTGGTGTGTATAATAATTTGGAAAGTTAAAAACCCATGTGAAACCGTATATTTAGAGACCTTAAAATAATATAGGATATTAAAAAATCGTGTAAGAAGTATATTAAAAAGTGACCGATTTTTCTCTCAAGTCAACATGTAAAATGCGTACGATTTCTTATAATTTTTTGCTATAGAATTACGGTGATGATATTCGTTTGCTATTAAAATATAGGGAAAATAAATAAAAATCTCGAAGATGGGGTAATTATGATCTTTCATTTAAAAAAAAAGTTCTTATGGTATTTTGTTATATTAATCCACTATCGTGGCATATGATGATATATATGTATATTGTATGAAAAACTCATGTTTTTCTAACTATTAAATGACACACCTAAAAAATATGTTTGATTACAATTTAATTACGTTTTCACTCATTTTAATGACAAATGAACCCCATATGGTGATTCTACAAAATATTTTTAAAAAATAATAAAAATAAAAAATAAAGATTTCTAAATGGCATATCTTTGAGTTTTTGATCTATTTTTCCTATTTTTCCTTTGACAGCAAATAGATGTCACTACATGATTTTACGATTATAAACTATGAAAAAATCATACGAATTTCATTTTTCAACTGTAAAAAAATTTTTTTTTAGTTGATTGGCAGCCGCCGTATTAAATCCACCTTTATAAATATAACACCTAAAAACTCAAAGTTTTTTTTAGGTAGTATTTGTACATATAATTAATAAACAAAAGTTTTTATAAAGTACACATTTATGTTATAATTTAATGTTTTTTATCCTAGATTATACATGTATATAGAGTTATGCATGTAACGTGAGAATCGCAAATAACTAAAAAAGGTCTTTTATGAAAAAATATTTTAAATAAAAATAAAACTCTTTAAACAAACAACTTAACAATAATGTGTTAAGTGCGAATAAAAATTGTTTATTTGTGCAAATTTAAATTAACTTTATTAAATGTTTTAAATGAAATTAATATTATTTTAGTAAGGATTCAAAATAATGATAGTATGATCCAATAAATACAAAAACTTATAATTAAGCTACAAATTGTAATAATTCAAAATTTTTACATTAAAAAGACATTTATTCAAAACTTTAGAATTTTTAAAATAATCATGAATATTTTATGAATATTCATATTCATTCAAATAAATGTAAATTAAAACATAAAGCTCCAATAAGAAACCGCTCCTTAACGCGCTTTAAATATTTTAGTGATTTTAAATAATTGACTAAAACATATTATTAAATCTTGTCTTTAAACCTGCAATCTTTAATTGGAAAGAAAAACATAATTATGATAACAATAATTTTGTCAAGTGTATGTTATTCTTCTTATATTCCTTTTCAAATGTGATTTTCTCGAACATAATGTTAATTGAGAAATTGATTATTACACGTGATTTTTTATCGGTTTCATTGTTTTTACAGATTTCTCTTTATTCTATGTTTGCAAACTGTGTGCAGACAATGCAGAGCGGAAGTAAATGCGAAATTGAAAATATTCGTAATTATATTCACAAATATAATATATTCATTCATATTAAATAAAAAGTATTTATTCATTTCCCCATATATTCATTTCCCCTAATACACAAAAATTTTAATTATGCTGATATTCATATTTATTATTTATTCGAATATTGGTTATATTTATTGGACACAATAATAATCACTGATTTCAAAGCATTTTTGAAAACATTTACGAAAAGATTCTCTTTGCAATTATTTCTTTGCTAATATTGAGAATAACATTTCCAATCTTATTTTTTTATATTTTTTGGAGGAATTAAAACAATATAGTAAATTTTCTCTTTGATATATCCTAATAAAAAATAATTATAATAAGTAAAGTAAAAAGTATTTCTCCCAAAGCCACATAACTTTTATTTAAAATTATTTTATAAAAGGCTTA